GATAACGGCTTTAACCGTAGGCATTCTGAAAAAGCAGCGTGGCATCTTGCTAGTGTGGTCAGTTTAATGCCCCTCTTAAGCAGCCTAACAAGCTTCTTGTCTCAATAACTCACACAACAAATTCCTGGTAGCTATGTGCTGATAACTGCAGAAGGATGTAGCTTAGCCTTATCAATTCCTGGCTCCAGTCGCACGTTAATCCACACAATGCTCCACTGTCAGCACACTGGAAAACACAATCATTTAATTTGCCCAACAAAGCCTGAAAATAATTGTAATGTTCCCCAGCTCTTCCCATTCATTACCAACACAGGGAGATTGCTAATTTTCAAATGCCAAATACTGGAACTACCATGTGTTTTTTTTTAATTTTGGAGAACCCTGTTTTACAACAGGAACAGGAGGGACACACCAAGAACTGAGGCCGGTTCAGAAAGAGCACAGACAATGGTTTAATTTTAAAATAAATCTAGCTCAGTGTAACAATCATAGATATTGTCGGGGTCAGCCACGGGAGAAGGCTTAGGTGGACTTCATAGAACATCAGTAACACGCACAACTTGGGAGAAGGTTACATTTTCATAAAGAAAACACAAGGCGATTCCTAGTTTAAGTGAAGACTTCAGAATGCTGTTGTTGTTGGATGGTATCTATTATCCTGGGAGAACAAATGTGCAAATGTCATTGAAAAAACCAGACTGTAAAAAAATAAAAGCAAGAAAAACATACATGGAAACAAATTAAGATTATTTTCTGTTTCCTTAGGGACAGTTAGATGTAGCAGGGGAGCTTAGAAATCTGTGTTTGTGACTGAGCATGTGTGAAAGGATTTAGCTGTTCAGATGCTTATGGTGCTTATGTTCCTCTGTGTCTACTAATGTGTTTGTTTGTGATAAGGGAAGGTAGTATCCATGCATTTTTGAGAGTCTCTTCAAATTTCCGATTGAGCCAACATTTTAAAGAAGAAACCCGACTGGTACATCTTTGGTCATTGCAAGCGAGCTAAAGAAGCGATCCAGATATCCTCTTCAGTTTGCTTAATTGTTGGAGATGCTTAACTGGGTAGAAATACTGCATGTTTTTTTCATGTAATTCCCTTACATATTTTAAAGCCAGCTATAAATGCATGGAATGATATGTGTTTGAAGTGCAGTGCATTTGTAATATGCCTTCAAGGGCTTAGTCTGGCAAAAAGAAGTGTCATCATTCCCAGATCTAAGCTTGAGCTACAAAATATTTAGATTCTCTGAAGAATATCCTATTTTTGGAAAAAAGAAATACAGCTTTATTTCATCCATTTATAAAGGTTTTTTGAAGTAGGTTGCAAGTGTGTTAAGTGACCCGTGTATTTTTTAACAAAAACTGAATAGTGTTTTTTCAATACACAGCATCAGTAAGCAACTAAACTGTTATCATTTAAATGCGTACTTAGATAATATTCTACAATGTAAAGTATTTATTTGAATGGCTGTAATGAAAAAGATTAAGATGTGGTAGCTTACTCAGTGGTCTTTGTTTGTTTTACCAGTTCTGAGCTGTTAAAAAAAAAAGCTTTCATAATGATATCGCTTAAAAAAGGAAAACGCTATGCTGAAATAGAACATATGCATGAGTAATTACGCATAGCAAGCAGCAATCTTACTTTGTGTTCCATTAGTGCATTGTGCTTTTAGCAATTTATGTAATAATTGGACAATTACAAAATTTGCTGTGAGGGATATTTTTGTTTTTGTGCTCTAAAGTCTGTGCACAGTTGGAGATGACTGTCTTTAATTCAACGTGTTCTCCCAGTTATTGGACTGGATTAGAATTTCATATCACAGCAATTCGAATTGCGGTACCAGAGTGCGAGCTCCAGTGAGGCTTAACAGGATCTTATAAACAGTGGTGCTGGCATGAATGTCTCACACAGCACATTCAGTGGGAGCCTTTGCCTCATATTGCATTGTCTCACTGCCAAGTGCAGGCAACTGTACTAAACCTGGCCACATTCATTTGTGAATAATGCATTTTGTCAGGGGTGTTGAACCATTTGGCAGATTTCAGTGCGGGGCGGAGGGGAAATGGGATATTTGTGTAAGTATTTATCTACTGATGAAATGTCCATGCTGAGTATTTCTTGACTGTCGGTGACCTCACCAAAATGAGGGATGGTGTTGGGATGATCTCACGCGAGACTCTTCAGTGACATTAACAAAACAATAAAGTTTCTTTAGTCAGCTTCCTCTCTTGTGTATTAGAAAGATAGACATTAAAGATAAAGATTTTGCCTCTGCAGAGTTAAGGAGTCCACAGTTTAAACTGAAATGTGTTTCTCTGACTCTCCTTTCTCTCTCTTCAACTATTTGTGTCTGTCTGAGTTAGAGTCATCACGTGATGAGCAGACAATAGAGAGGCACTCTTTCACTATGGAAAGGTTATAGGGGGTTTTGTGTTGTCCAGTGAGCAGGGGGGGTTGCATCCAGGCTTGTGAATAGGATCATTGAATCGGAGGTAATTTTGGGCCCCGGTGCAGGGCATTAGTTGGACAGGCCTTTCTGCTGACGTGCTCGTTTCCCTCAAGCTCCCTCTTTTTTTTAACCCCAACCCCCAGTCCCTCTGTGCTGCATCGGCATTTCTGTCCAATTCAGGCCCATATCATGGTGCCCATGTCCACCTGGGAGATGGGGTGTGGCAACCAAGATTTCTTGTCGTTCTCTGCCTCTGGGGAAGCCATGAGAGATATAGATAAGTTGCAGCTGTCTCAGAATGCATATTTCTAACTTTGTAAAACCAAGAGCTGGTATGAGAAATGAATTGATGCACGTCAGACTTTCCCATTGATTATTTTTTTTAAATGACTGTGCCTGCAGGGAGTTTGTTTTTGGATTTATGTGGGGCCTGTTTGCTGGGGAGCTTCTCATAAGAGTTCCGATAGCACAATTTCAGGAAACGTTAATGAAAGTTGGAGCTCACCATGAGAGGAGAGGGTTCGTGTTAAGATAACCTGTGAGGAAATTCTATAAAAAAATTTAAGTCTTCAAGACATTTGAAACATGGATGCGTATCTTATATAGTTTAGTTGAAAGAAAGACAAAACTAAACTACCTTTTTTCCTGAAAAAGGTTGGTTTATTGCGGAGTCATCAAAATGATTAATGTTTCTTTTTACTTGTTAAACAACAAATTGTCTCAGCTTTGTCTGGATTTGCCGAATAGACTCAGGAAGTCCTTTACATTTGAGCACAACGGTCAGATATTTGTGAGACCGCACAGACCAAACCTTGAACTTTGAAAAGCTTCTTATCTATGGACTCTCCTCTGCAGCGTTGTGAGTTATTTTGACAGTCTCTTACTCTGTATTCCACCTCTGTCTTAGTATCTGCTCCTGACAGGAGATGGCTGGTGATTGCCTGAAGGCTTTGAGTTTACAGGCACCTAGCTTTAAAGCAAAACCTTCAGAGTCATCCATCTGAAGTCAGTCTTGCCAAGTTCAAAAAGGAAAAAAAACTAATTGGTCAAGGGTAATTGGACAAAGGAGGCCGGGAAAGAGAAGGTAAACATAAAGTCCTTTCAGTTTTTCGAAGAAAAATGCCAACTTCTGTCTCTTTAGTTCAAACTTTTGTCTCTATCAAATTGAGTATTCATCAAGTAACAATTGGTTAATAGCAATGTTTAAAAAACAAAACAAAAAAAAACAGGTTTGCAGTCTTGATGCCTTGCTTTGACATTAAGTCTGTTTCTGATTGGAGACCAGTTCCCTGCAGATGGGTTGTTAAACTATGGGTTCTGACAAAGTAGAACAAGGTTATATTATAATTCACAATGATGAATGTATTACCATTGAACTCAAACTCTCCTCAGGCCACCTAATCATTTTGTTAATTTTCCTTTTGCTTTCACTTATGTTCAACCTGTCACCGTTAAAAATAAGCCCCTGTCTGTCTGTACATACACACATTTTCTTTCTTTGCCAGATTTTGATGTTAACATTATTTTTGTTCTAAAAGGAAGGTACACTCCCTGAAACAGGCATTCACGGGGGATGTTTTCAGCTTGAGGGCCTCAAACTGAAAACATCTGTAAGAAATGTTTTAAATTCACCTCTCTAATCTCGGAGATCTAATACACGAAGGAGCTAGTGTACTTGTGGTTTTCTTTAGACCCCAAGCTGGTCTACTGCATTTTTGCCCTGAGCCTACAGGAACTTGATACTCTGTAGACATCAGTGGGTCCCCAGGGTTGTAGCACAAAGGAGGATTAGGCACCCACCTTTAAGGCTATTTTTAAGTAATTCCACATCTGCTTTAATAATTCATAGCAGCTTCAGCTGAACCGCCATACCCAGGATATACAGCAAAATTGTGATATTTATATCCGGTAAACACAAAGGGGGATTTCTGCTCAAAAGAATCACATAGTAAAGCTCTTGGTGGGTTACCGAGTTAGTGTATGTGTGTGGTTATTGTGTATGTGTGTCCAAGCTGGAGGCGCACATGCAGGACTGTATTGTCACTCAGTTGTAACATGAACTTATGTTGTACCACTGCCATAGAGGCACCTGTGGGACTTCAGCCCCCCTGAGTCACCTGTCTGCTGTGTCTGAATGCGTACTCTTGAGTTTTTGGATTTCTTTGTGCTGTTGCTTATGAAATAAACATCACACTCACATCTGTCTATCAAGGAGTTTGGGACAATAGTCCTCCACAGGAGGTATCCACATTTCTCACAGGGGATAAAGCTAGTGGGAAATGGCTCTAGATGGAAATCAGACTAGAACTCGCAGAAAGGCACTTGTTTGAATATCATCTCCATGTTTTTTGTCTTAAGCCTGATATTGCAAAGTGTGATGGTTGGTTTAATTTATACACAAGATTTTGAATGTATTGTGTATCTATTTTCTTTAATAGCCCTCACAAAGCTTGCTCCCTTGTGTCTTAAGTTTGTTCCCCCTCCATCTTTCTCCTCCACTGCTCCTGTTTTGAGCTACGCCTTTGGGGCACTACTTGAAGTGAATAATGTATGAGCGAGGAGGAGAATCTGAAAAACCTTTGTGGACCTTCTGTCTGGCTGCCTGTCCTCCACTTCCTTTGCCTGTACTTCTGGTTGTTTTTGTTTTTTTCAATCATTTTGAGCTCGAATGTCTTTCTTTCTCTTGCAGTGGGGTTTGTCAGCTGTGGTCAAGGTGGTCTGGTGCGGTTCGAATGCAGTAATCCATCTGACTTTCGGATAGAGGCTGACGGAGTAGTTTACGCTGCCCGTGCTCTGCGAGGCACCACGCTTCCCGCATCACCTCTGCAGATCAAGGCCAGTGACACCAGCTCTCAGCAGCAATGGGTGACCAAAGTCAGGCTGACGTCTCCCTCACAGGTGAATAACCACACCACAACATTTTGACTTGTTTGCCAATTGTCATGCTGCTGTCACTGCCACTGAAACGTTGGATGATCATTTCTGCCCTTCCGTTCAAATAACCTGTACTTATTAGTCTCACTGTAGATTCACAGACGACTGCTTCACTAAGTTGTAGCAGGTGTTCCATGAGAATGGATGGATGCTTGCAAATTAAAACTTAATATGTCAGTTTACAAGGAGCACAAACATACACTCAACATGGCCTGTGAATCGCAAGAGCAGATGCAGAACAGCTTCCAATAAATTTGAGCCCTCCGAGGTTATAGCCTTATCATCCAAAAGAGGAAACGCTTATTTCAGAGTCTTGGAAGATGGGAAGCATCTGTCTGAGCTGCACAGTGCCACTCAAACTGTTCCACTGGATGTGTTGCGCAGTCATCTGCTATTAGTTAGAATGACCATGTGCTCGCATGTTAACATTACAGCCGGCTGGGAATCAGGAATCAGGGGGTCGGTAAAAAATAAGGGGAAAAAAGAAAAACGTTTTAATATGTCATGTCTGGCTGTTTTTTTTTTTGCCAGGACATAAAAACTAAGTTTTTAAAGCTGTGCTTTTACTGAAGTTTCAACTCAGTTTAAAATTGTGGATCATTTCGTGCTTAACTGACTGGAGCAACAAATATTTAAATCCACCCATGGTATTTCCAGCTGTTTCCGTCAGGTGAAAAGTGACCCTTTATGCGCATCTGTTAATAATTATTGAATCTTCACCCTACTGGTGTCTTGATAATACCCCAAGATTCGGTAGCCCTGATTGTTTTTTTTAAAATGATATTTTTTCCCCATTTCCATTGCTGTTCTTTAAATATGCAGTGCGGTAGACAAGGGGCACCATGTATTACATGGATGTTGAGTCAGAGTTTTTCTGACAGTTTTGTGTCAGTGATGCAGATGCAGTTGTCTGCACAGCTGAAATTCAACTTCTTCTTGGGGGGACTAATTTCATGAATTTTCAGAACAAACATTAGCATCTGCCGGTAATTTACTATCGGAAATACTGCAGGTATATGCGATTTTAATGATGCCATTAGTCAATGTTGTGAGTTGGTCAAAGATAAATAAATGTATACATTTTAAGTAAGAGAGAGACTTGTGCAAGTGATCAAGTCAGCTTTGGTCTAAATCTGTTCAGAGTTGCTGGATTTGTTCAGAATATATTCAGAGATTTACTTTTCTGCATCGTGCTTGTTTATGAGGTCATGAGCAGTTATCTTCTCCCCCAGCACAATTATGGTCATGAATCACCTCACATCTCTTAATCACATCAGTGATTGTATTTTTTAATAGCACCATTGATGCACCAGCCTTGGGAAACATTTTAATCAATGACAACCAAACAATATCCTCATTAACATGAGCGCATACCTCTTCACTCCCTATCTTCATCTCCATTAAAACTTCAGCTGTATTGCAGTTTCACTGGAACAAACATGTCGGGATTTGAAATACTGGATTTTTACAAAAAGGGCAAATATACACACGTAATGCTTCCAAAACTCTTACAAACACCCAGGCCATCACTCAGGCCAGCACTCTCCGGGACTCTGAAGTAGACTTCTAGTCTGAAGATGGAGAGTGCTTTCCCAGCGTGGATGGGTACAGACCTCCAGCGTACCAGAGATGGATTTGTGTTGGGATGAACGAACCTACCGAGCTATTCATCATTCTAGACGCAAGTTGCAAATAATTACTGGTCTCACTCGCAGCCATTTTAATAGGGTAATAGATATTTCTGAGGCATGCTCCTTCACTATCTGTCCACATGCCTCTCTGCATTTCCAATGTGTGAAAGCGGTATAATCGGATTTCAAACATGATTAGTGGATGCTCTGCGACAGCTCCCCAGATGTTAGAGGAGGAGGGGTGAGGGATATGGGCGATGCTATAAGGTGAAGAAGTGGTAATTAATTTCTGTGTTTGCATAAGACAATTTGTGTCATTTTGTAGGCTGTGGCTGCCAGACAAGCTGTCTACGTTCAGATACCTACAGACAAAACTGACAAAGATTGTTGAAAAGACTAGAAAGAACTTTGGCTGTTATTTATTGACAATGGCAGATTTAACATATTGTTTTCGGTCTGTTTTCCTTCCTGCCTTGTTTTGTTCAAGGTTATTTTAACTTTCTCTGGCAGTGCTTCAGTCTCCTCAGTCTCTGGAGCAGCATAGGCAATTTGAGCCATCTGCGTGTTTAGTGTCTGGCTTTCAGGTACCATCCTCCTTTGTTTCAAATCTCATTCATTATAGCTGAGGGAGGATGGCAGATCCATTATGGAAGCTGGTCTATCTGCGTGGGTGTGTTTTATCAGGACATAAGAAGAAGTCTGCCATTTAAAGCAAACCAGTGCTGGAGGTGTGTGGCTGCCGCAGTACTGAGCAATTCTGAGGCACACCTTCACACGTGCACTGTGTGTATTTTGGGCTACAAAGAAAGTTGGAACAGAAGGGGTTGTTTGAAGAGACATTTACAATAGATATTAAATAACATTTGAAAATGGCAGCCTGTTCTTTCATCCTAACAATAGATTCCTTTGCTAACAACCTTTTGCTTAAGGGTCATTGATCAGTCTGATGTATCACTCTTTGAAGTAAGGTCAGGTTTGCATTCACACAGGTGTGTTCGTATGTTTGTATGCTAATGTGCTTACAGCACACTACCATACTGCAGCCATGCAGATATTTAGGTGTCAATAACGTGCTGATGAGCCTCCTGAACACATCAAGCGATTTGCAAATATCAGAGCACGATGAATTTAGTAAAGATTTGGAAATGTATCTACATCTCAATGAATGCGCATATCACACGTGGCTTCTAGTGGTTGTTCAGGGCCCCAAATGTGATGGCTGTGTTAGAAATTAAATCAGTTGATTATTGCAGTCATCAGAAATTTGGTGTAGACATGTGAAAATGTTGAGATATTTCTGTGTGGCAATCCAGCGAGCAGTTCAGCACAGCCCCCCTGGCAGCTATGCCTCTTGGGTCTTTGAAAATATCTGTACTCGTACTTTACTGCATAGGTGTGATCACTAAATCATTTCCCTTTGTCAGGTGCAGGAAGTTGCTGGCCCTCCAGTCATGCCCAAGGATTCAAAGGAAATAGTGTTTCCATCACGAAACGCCGACAGCCAGCTGAAACGCATGAAGAGAGACTGGGTCATCCCCCCAATCAATGTCCCAGAGAACTCACGAGGAGCATTCCCTCAACAGCTCGTCCAGGTAATTTATTTGACTCAGTCACATACATGCACACAAGACGCCTGCCTCCCACTTTTTGCCAGATATTTGAACTTTCACAACACTCTGAGCTCTAGATCAGAAAGCTACTGGCAAGAAACTGATTTCTTCAATGAAATGCCTGAAATGACAGCGTTTTGCTCAAGTTCTGTGCTCCTTATTTCAGCTAAATGAATCATTTTAGTTCAGGGGTCAGTTTTTAACAGCAAAACCTGACATTTTATTTTATGCAGTGAAAAATCTGAAATGCTCACCAACATAATGGTTCCTCATTTAACTGCTTGGGTGCCATAGCTCGGTTTTCATGGCTCAAGGACGGGCTCAGCCCAATCTCTTGGCAACAATTCTGTGTTCAGAGCGAAGTGTGGGTGGCTGACGGAGTAGCTCTTGGGACAGTTGAGAAGATCTATTCTGCACATTAAACTTACTCACATATTGCTACATGCACTATTTGCCATATTAGATTTGATTTTTTGATTTGACTATATTTGAAAGGATGTTCTTAGACTTGAGAAGTAAACAGCTTGAAGAGGAAGATGGTCTGTCTTAAGACCAAGGGTCTTAATAACCAATAATTATTCATAAAAGGTCATATGTTTTTAGATGTTTTTTTTCTTTTCTTTTATTTCAGCCAAAACATTTGAGGACAGATATGCTGAGAAATGTTTTTGATGCCACCATTAACAAATCTTTGTGTCCGCAGATCCGGTCAGATCATGACAAAAACCGGTCTCTAAGATACAGTGTAACCGGCCCTGGTGCTGACCAGCCTCCCACAGGAATCTTCATCATCGATCCAATTTCAGGAGAGCTGTATGTCAACAAGCCCCTCGACCGAGAGAACATCCACAGCTTCCATGTGAGTCAGATGAAAAAGTTTTTTAAAATGACTGTTTGACATTTCAGTATTGGTAAAAAATGTGTCCTTTACATTACTGCAAGTTGGCATGCGCTCAAGGTTCATGTGTAGTCTAAATAGACAGCTAAGACCTGAAGCTGTAGTCACCCAAGAAATCTGACTTATCCGTCTGAGAATTTAAAGGATTTTAACTGAACGGTTGGACAGATTATCGTAAACTTCAGCTTCAAAGACACTTTATTCCTAAATGCTATTTCCATTTTGTGAAAATGGTCAGACGGGTGGACTTTAAGCTGAGCCATAGTGATTTTATTGTGTTTATTCAAATTGTATATTAAAAGCTGACAAAAGTAATATATTTGCTATTCATTGATCTGCTTTTGCATTTTAGCTCCACTACTCCACTGAAAATGCATGGAGAGCATTTTATATACATCAGAAAAACAGATGCAAGCAGATGCAGTAAACATAACTTAATTCATAAAACAAAAGTTAGCCTGAGGTTTAAAACTAGAATTAATATGATTATGATCAAATTTGTAAATGTGAATTTTTTCAAAATGTCTTATTCAAAAGGCATTTTTCGAAAATCGCAGAGGCAATATTTCTGTTGCTGTGTATTCTGTGGCTAGGATAAAAAAAATGTTTCTGGTACATGTTAAAGTAGTGGCTGAAAAAACGTGTTCTTTGTAAAAAAAAATACAAATAAATAAACTATAACAAACAAATCATTAATTTCAATCAGTTCCATTTATCAAAATGCAGGTCCTTCTGTTTACTTTTTCAGTTCTTTTCTTACTTTTTAAAAGGTGCTAGTAAAGATCTTATGGCTTAGATATCACATGAGCATAAAAGTGACTAAGTGGTTCGTGCCAACATATTGTTTCACAGTTGAAAGTATCCGTCACATGAACAGTTTGACAACCCAGATGTGTTTGTGCTTTCCTCCAGCTAAGAGCACATGCAGTAGACCTGAATGGCAACCAGGTTGAAAACCCTATTGATATTGTGATCAACGTGATCGACATGAATGACAACAGGCCTGAGTTCACCCATCAGATCTGGAATGGCACTGTTCCTGAGGGTTCCAAGCCAGGTTAGCTCCACACACAGTTTTTTTCATCTGCAGCCTGTGTCAGTTCCACCTGTTTCCATAATGTTAACAGATCAAGAAGCTCTGATGAGATTCCTGCGAAAACCTAACCGTTAACATTATGTCTACAGATGTAAAGCAGCACTTTAGTTTTAAGGTCAAGAACAACAAACCTAAATGATAAAGATGTAAATCCCACTATGTTTGATGTTGACATTATGTTTCCTTTTTTCTGTCCCAAAGGAACTTTTGTTATGACGGTAACATCCGTCGACAAGGATGACCCCAAAACAGAAAATGGTATGCTACGTTACAAGATATTATCTCAGAACCCTGAGAGCCCCAGCTCCAATATGTTCACCATTAACAACAAAACTGGAGGAATCATTACCGTGGCAGCAGGCCTGGACAGGGAGGTATTAACCCTTAATCTATTTTTTGTCATCTTCAAGGTCACATTTTTGTACATTGCATCTGCTGTTTTTTCTCACTTTCATTAACAAGGCGATCCATGGGATTATGTATCTTCTTGTCTTAGCTACTAGCAGTAGATCACAGAATTGTTCACATTTACATAAGAAGACCACAACTTGTTAAAATTATGACAGCTTGAGTATCGTCTCCAATATTCAGACAGTCTGCGGGCTAATGAGCCAAAGTAAATTTAGCTTATTACCAACCAAATGAGAAGTAGAAGTGGACTTGGCTGTTTCACACTTATTTACTCTTACAAGGAGGCAACTTGCATCAGTGAGCAGCTAAATGTTAATTTTAGCCGATTCTTACTTTTTCTTTCCTCGCCTGTAAAAAAAAAAAAAGAAAGCCTTTTTTTGTCTTCTGTACCATAACTGTACCACTCATCTGTTTGTTTGGAATTATATGGCTGTTAAAAAAATAAAATAAAATGACATATACGGCTGAAGCTAGTTGGTTCAATCCCAGAGAGGGCAATCTGGCTGAGCTGGCTGCTCAATCACTTTCACCCTGGGGCCATAGTTATGTCCGCCAGTTGCCACCATGAAAGTAATTTTCCACACTCTCATTACCTAGCAACTGGTCCATCACCTGAGTGTTTTTTAATGTGAATAGTTTTTTCTGCTTAATGACTGTTTATTGTAAAGGTGTGAATTTCACAAAAGCACACAAAGGCTCCCATAAAACCATGTGAATTAAATCAGTTTGTGTGGATGAACAGACTATTTATCATTGAAATGAGAGGCAAGACAGCTCAGATGGTTGTTTTTTGGCTGAAACATGTACTTTCCCTCATACAATGTGGTACCATCCCACTGTTGGCGTTCACAAGGTCAAACGTAATTGAAACCAAAAGCCTTGGAATGAATTCTGTTGCACTAGAGCATCCTTTTAAGGATTTATATGGAATTTACTGTATTTATTGTTGTCTCATTTGTCCCTTTTTTTGTCTCCCAGAAAGTGCCTCAGTATACATTGATCATCCAGGCCACTGACATGGAGGGCAACCAAATGTATGGTCTCTCAAACACAGCTACTGCTATCATCAGAGTCACAGACATTAATGACAATCCACCAGAGTTTACTTCAGAAATGGTAAGAAACAGTTTGAAATCTAAAATGTCAACGCAATAGTTCTCGCATCACAACAGCACCGCAAGAGCCACTATCTTACCCCAGTTTGGATGTGTATATATATAAATATTCACACTTTGACACCAGCTCTACTCACTTACCCGTTTCTGCTTGCTTTGTATTTCTAAAGTCATTCAAGATATTCAACTCTCCATCCTCGTATGAAGCGTTATATCCCCCTCCAAATGTTGACGCATGCAACTATGGGGATGTGTGCCTGAGTATAAGAGGCACTTACTGGGCTCGTGAATCACTGAAATTTGTAATGCTACTGTTATGCTATCAGGGGAGCAGAGGGAATGAGATGACCATGACGACTTGATAAGTTGCCTTAGATGTCTATTTACCCAAGATTGGTCCTGCTGTGCTGTGTGAGGCGGGACTTGGTGAATTTCTTGCTGCAGGTGCAGTAAAGCTAACAACTCGCTCATCTGAACATTCATGGTTTATTCATGCAGTTTTTCGGCGAGGTGCATGAGAACCGCGTGAATGTTATCGTGGCCAACCTCACAGTGACTGACAAGGATCAGCCAAACACACCAGCGTGGAACGCCGTCTACAAAATCACAGGGGGTGACCCCACCGGCAGGTTCTCAGTGCCCACTGATCCAGCCACTAATGAGGGTCTGGTAACAGTTGTCAAGGTAAGGCCTCCCTAATCCTACGCTGATGCTTAATGTATCTAGTTGTTAAGTTATTATGTGGGTTTTTGTGTGTCATGTCTCCCCCTTGAAGTGTTTTGTGTTAGCTGGAGCCCTGGAACACAAAGTTTCCTGCACATTCGTCTGCTGAGCAGATGTATTGTCTCTAATAGGGGCTCTTTTGTTTGCAGACATCCTGTGCGCGATGTCTATACATTTAAATTGACAACACAGTGTTTTCTTAAATTCAAGTCGCTTTTCAAATGAAAGAAAATGCTTGCGCAACTCTTACACCAGCACTGTTGTGTATCCTTGAGGTGACCACAAAAGGATTCAGACTCTTTATCACATCCTGCTGTGGAAAAGCAATTTTCGAAAAAGAAGAAGAAGATGAAAATATTTGAGTTCTTTTGAGTTTCTCTCTGATCAGTGTCACACAACCCAAAAAATGAAATTTAATTGATTTCATGCGTGACTCACCATGTATGTTCTTACTGCTTTCCAGCCGATAGACTATGAAATCAGTAGGACGTATGTGCTGACAGTGGAGGCAAGGAACGAGGTTCCCCTGGCCAGAGGCATCCACTCTCCTAGACAGTCCACTGCCACTGTCTCCATCAAAGTGATAGATGTCAATGAAAGCCCCTACTTTGAGCCCAACCCCAAACTTATTAAACTGGAGGAGGGAGTGGCATCCGATTCAACTCTGACCACCTTCACTGCACAGGATCCTGATCGTTTCATGCAACAAACCATCAAGTATGTTGCCCATTGAAAAGAAAAACTGAAGTTCACAGAAAAATGTATTCTGTTGCCCCACTTCCCATTAAATTAAGTGCAGCAGCTGTTCTGCTGCACAATTAAATGACTGCGGCTATATTTAAATCTGATTAAAATCTTAATTTCCTCAGTACGATAGTTTTGACAGTTTTCTCAATTCCAATTTTTACTGTTCATACACAGACACACACACATAGGTGTGTGTGTGTATATATATATACAGTATATATATAACAGACTGCCCGCACATGTGTTTCATCTGCTTTTTTATAATCAGAAAACTGTTTACATGGAGGAGAATTAAATCTAGCTTTTTAATTCCACTGTTTGTCCTACAAATGAATTTTAAGCACTCATTAAAAAGAATCCTCGTCGGTGTACTCTGTGAGGTTGCTCTCAAATACAGAATAAATCCTCTGTGATGATAAATTAAGTACTTTTGCATTAAGTAAAGCCAAAGTTCCACATAACTTATATTTTTTTAACAGTATTATTGCAATAAAGTTGCAGCTAAAGTATAAATTGAAAATATAGAATGTCTTTGTTGTGAATCTTCTGTATTAACCTCTTTTTTCCTATTTAAATCAGATATTCCAAACTCACAGATCCAGCCAACTGGCTAAGGATTGATCCCCACACTGGTCGGATCACAACGATTGCCATTTTGGACCGAGAGTCTCCTTATGTGAAGAACAGTTTATATAATGCTACATTCCTGGCCACTGACAGCGGTATGTAAGCATTCAGATGTTACCGCAGGGTGAAAAATAGCTTATTGAGCATCTGTGATGCCCTGATTACATGGTCTAGGTGTTTTAGCCAGACTGTTGCACAATATATGCTTTAGGACATTATTTTAAAAATGTTCAGAGGCAGGAAGTGTTTTCTTTGTAAAACAAAAAAGAAACCTTAAAATGTCTGTCGTCCAGCTCAAAGATCCCCTACCTCTTTTGGACCTTTTTTATATGTTCTTTCTGAACTCGGTTACATTTTTGTTATATCTGCTGAAATATCTACCTCATTTATAGCCACAACAATGTCCTCTAAGCTTGAAGGGCGACCATGTACCTGGCACTCAGTGTGTCTGGAATGCTGACTGCCTTCGATGAAGGTTAATGTGCACACAGTCCCAGAACCATCGAGCATGTGGAAGTTTTTACCTTCTCTCTGCTCTGGTGGGATTTACCTCTGTTCAGGTTTACCCCTGTTCTATGGGGCATAGCTTAGGCCAAGAGGCTTAAAAACTCGACCAATAATGAGGTTTCTCAGCATTAATCGGTCAGGATTGGATGACTAGCTCCTATGAGCGTGGCCTGAATGTTAAAAAAGCCTCTTAGCTGAGTGAATACATAGAGGAGCCTGAAAGGAATGACAGTGGTCTCTTTTTGTCTGCTTTAGTATTCCCACCCCGTGTCCTTCATCAGGAAGACATTCTTCAGAAGCATACACACAACTCAAATGTTCTGATATTTGAGTCTCTTTCTACCTCCTCACTTGAAATTGAATATGTGGATCAATATGCAGTTTGCATTGGACTACCACAAGAGTAAATAGCTATTTAGGGAGCCAAAGAATAAACTCCATAATTCACTTTTCACTGTCAACTGGGCAGTGATTGTTGAAAGAGGGATGGCATTTCAGTTGCATATATTTCTTTCCAGATGCAAATTTACAGAAATCCATTTTCTCTTAGATATGTATATGCTGAGTGTGTGTATGTCACTTTATGATCCATCCAGGTGTGCCACCGGCAAGTGGCACAGGCACTCTCCAAATCTTCTTGCTGGATATCAACGACAACGCACCCAAGGTGTTCCCCCAGGAGGTAGAGATATGTCAAAAGCCAGAGCCAAATGCCATCAACATCACAGCTCTTGATGGGGACCTGAACCCAAATGCTGGACCATTTGCCTTTGAGTTAGCCAATAAGCCCACTGACGTCAAGAGAAACTGGACCATTACAAGAATCAGTGGTGAGATACAGAACACAATTTCACAGTAATAAACACTAGTTCAGTTCATATAGGGCCATTTGTCCCGAGTCAAAACCTAATGAGATTAAACTAATCTTGAATTTGCAGTTGCTGAGATATCATGACAGAGATGATGAATCAGCTTTTTGGTCTCTGCTTGCAAAAGTTTAAGTTTGTTACCCGGAAGCCGAAAAATACATTTTTGTCTTTTACCAGTAACATGACGATTAATTAAAAACCTTTGAATTTAAAACCATGTCCCCAGTGCTTGGCAGCTTTAAGACTGCGATCAGTCTGAGAAACGTTTTTGACATGGGTGTTTAAACAGAACACCACAGAGGTGTCAAAGCTAAAACAGACAAAATGGTAATCTATTAATCTTTACCAACAGTCATTAATTCTTCATGCTAATTTTAAATAAAACCACAAGTGTAAGAACTCGTTTGTTGTGTGTTTGCTATTTGAGAATGTGAGTTGAAATGCGGTGAATAAATCTTAATAGGATAATGGCATTTGGATTATCACAGCTGGGAATTTAGTCTAAGCAGCATTATCAAAAGGTATTCAGAAGATTTTTAAGCTTTAAAGCCAAATCCTAACCATGTTTTGGATTAGATTGGCTGATGCAATTTCCAGGTATAAATTCATGCTGCACATTTGCGGTAATAGCAGTCTAATCATGATATCTATACATCCATTAACACAAACGACTACAAGTGATGATTTAATCCCATGTAAAAGACTGATAAATACAAAAATAACAATTCAATTAAAATAAGTTTATTGTTTTATCTCTAAAAGCCATCATAGGCTTCTTGTACTCATTTTCCTTTCCCTTTTGTCAGGTGACTATGCTCAGGTGAGTCTGAGGATCGGCTACCTTGAAAGTGGAATCTATGAGATTCCCATTATAATCACAGACTCAGGCAACCTGCCCATGTCCAATACCTCCTACTTGCGGATTAAAGTGTGTCAGTGCGACATCAATGGAGATTGCACTGATCAGCAACACATCATGGCAGCTGGCCTGGGCACAGGTGCCATCATATCCATCCTCCTGTGCATCATCATCCTCCTCAGTGAGTGTCTCGGTTTTTGTCTCTCAAACAGAACATCACACGAGTGAACACAGGGATTATAAAGACAGCTATCCGAGATATCACTAGATTAGTGTAGGATTACCAAAAAGATAGCCTTGATTGGGCCCACATTCAAGCTCCAAAACATTGAATCCGATTATATTTAAATGAAAATCTGCAAGTTATTATTTTCTGTAATACGAGATCTTTCTTGGTCTGTCAATCAGTTCTGGTCCTGATGTTTGTGGTGTGGATGAAGCGTCGTGATAAAGAGCGTCAGGCCAAACAGCTTCTTATTGACCCTGAAGATGATGTGAGGGACAACATCCTCAAGTATGATGAGGAAGGTGGAGGAGAGGAGGACCAGGTAAGAATGATGTGGTGAATGCCCTGTTCACGTTTTATTCTAAAGTATTGATATTCATGTTTACATCATCAGATATTGTCTTATCTTATGAGCAGTTGTGAGTACAATCACCCCCCAAAGTAAGGAAAGAAAATCTGTCTTTGTACTGATCTTTATGTTCTCTTTAATTAGTTTTAAGCTCCTGTTATGATGTAAAAGTCTTTGGCTGGGGAACTGATGGTAATGGGGGCGTTTACTTACTCGGCCTGGCAATGTTAAAAGTAAAACTGATGAAACTCACACTATCAGGATTTTGAGTGTTAAGTGGGCTAATTTATTAGATACATGTTTTATGATGAATCTCTTTGTGATTTAGGTTCACATATTTACAATAATGGAAAAAAAAAATTGTATTTTAATCAAATCATTTTTTTTCCCTCTCAAACAATAGAGATAAAATGTAATGCAGTACCCAGAGAGACCATGTTATTTCACCAATAATGCATCATATTTAAAGTCTAACCAAGCATACATAGATTTACAGAGCTTCTTTGTAGTATAACTCCAGCACATTGTCTCTTTAAGATATACCACTCAGTCACTCGCTTTGACGATTAAGACAGTTTTTATGGTTAGTTCTCTTTTTCCTCAAGGGAGGCTGGAAATCGAAAGAAAGAATCAATAATGCAAGCGCATTTTGATCCATTTGGTTCTGGAAGTATTGAAAATGCTTCCTCAACTGGAATTTCTCCCACTTCACAAACGTAATCCACATACAAACAATAGGAATGCAGTGCCACAGGCATCAATAATGTCCCATCTCTGTATCCTCATGCACTAATCGGGCACATGCACAATTCAATTGTCCTATAAAACCCTTATTAGCACAGCAGAATAATTTAATAAAAAGCAGTAATATACAGAATGGGCTATTTTCTTGCTGGTGGATGAATTGTGTTTGTGGCTAGGGTGTATTAGAAATGCGTGGGAGAGCCCAGTCTGACCCAATGCAATGGCAAATTAGCGTCAGAGACTTGTAATTGGTGAGCTGATGTCATTTAGAGATAGACATCTGCTGTAGTGCAATAATGAAGCCCTGTGTAAGGTAACAACATGACTGGAAAACCATTACACATCTGGCAGTGATTAAGCAGGAGGAAGATAATCTATTTGTGTATTAACATCCGCAGTCTAACACATAAAATGCACAAACCCGAGGATCAGGACCTGTTCAAAACCAAACTGTCACATGATATAACACCCTGCAAAGGCAGCTGAGCAGGAGCAGCGATTTATTGTAGGAAAACAAGTTTCTATTTTGAATTGGCTGAAGAAAGACGCGGCGAGAGGAGAAAATGTTCTTCTCTGCGGAATTGTGTGTGGAGTCAGTGTTGGGTAAAAAATGGACCTGGCTTTCCCAGCGACGTGATCTTTGTAATACCCACCTCTGTTCTTCCTATCTCATGCTGGGGAGGAAATTGAAGTGTCAGACCATTGGGTGCTCTCATATGATTTTAGCTGCTGCTGTCATCGTCTAGGTTTGTGAAGGCCTCATTTCATCAAAGGCAGACAGCTGAACAGCTCTTTGGCCATTGCAAAAATAATGGTAAATTAACGTAAATTCAGAATATTTGAACTGAATGATTCTTTCTTTACGTCTTGCAATTAGATAACCCACTGGTTTGTGTAAAGTGCTCCATGCCCAGAGGCTTGTGAGTCTTGTCTTGTCAGCAGTCTTGCTTATTCATTATATCTCACTACTGAGATGATTGGCTGCTATCAATTACATGATATGGTTGAGATTACTTGGCTTAATTTAGAAAAATGATTACAGTCTTATGCATATAGACCATTATAACATATAATAAAGTTATAGATTAGATTTAATCTCAATAGCTAATTTTGCAATTCTTCTTTCCTTATAGTCAAATTACAAAAATGTTTGTACTCTTGCATATAACTGAGAGTATTTAAAAAAAGAAAAGTTCAATCATTCTAATGTGTTTGACCATCATCGGCTAAAATTGAATGGATGTGACTGTCCTAAATGATTAACCTGGTCCCATTAGAAAAAGTGATGTTAAGTCTCCCATGATTCCTGAGAGCTGCCATTTCACCCGGCCAGTGCGTATAAGCTAGATCCTAAAAGCTGCTGGTATTTTACTGAACTTGTCTGCTTTGTTTGGCTCATAAATGGTCCGATTGCTAATTCAGATGAGAATAAGGCTTTAGTGAAGCAGCACAGCTGGACTCTGTTACAGCCTTCAGTTTTGCATACAATCACTTGAGGTGACAATATAATAAGAGTTCATTCAGATGGGGGGAAAAAGTATTTTTAATGATTTTCTATTTCTTGCTGCTATTGTAGTATAAGTACCTGGATCACAATGGGTTGAGATTACATAGGAGCTTTATATTCACAATATACATTGGAACCTTGAAAAGGAAAGATTTCTGTTTTGGTCGAAAATTGATCAATTTCAACTTCAATTTATTCTGTCAATATCTGTTTGCTGTAAATCAAACAAATAAATTGATTAGCAGTCACATTGTTCTTCTTTGTATTTGGTCAAAAAAACTCAATTGTGCCCACAATGAAGTCGATGTGCTTGATATAACTAATTCTGTGTTGTCAGTGCCAACAGATGCTCATCGAAAAACAGTTATTGAGTATTACAAGTTACGACATTAAGATAAGCGGTTAATAGGAATGGTTAACCACTCCCAACACCATTCAATCATAACAGATTAAATGGGTGTAAGAGTGCAGATCAAAGTCAGACATTTCAGATGGTGATCTGGGAAAGATTGCACTTCTGTTCGTTATGTATTCTTTTACATTGAGCAGACATCCCGCAGTTGCATGACAGCTGTGTGCAGTTCAAGTTCCAAGAATGTGATGATAGTTGTTCCTCTACAGCTAACCTTAAGCTTTTTTGTGGTTACTCACTACTAAATCAAATCATCAGTCAGTATGTGTTTTTAACATTAAGACAAAATACTCCACATGCTTTAAGCAACAATTGAGATCACTTCAGTGTCAGATTAACACTGTTCAGTGTTAATGTTTTTGTTTGTGTATACTGTAATCGTAGGGGCCTATGCATTCCAATGAATATTTATACATTGCAGCATCTTTTGTTTTCATTTCCTTGGACTGTTTTTGTGGGAAGATACATATGTGACTGAGCAAAGGTAATTTCAAAGGGGGTATATGAGATGGATGGATCACAGAAAATCTCTTAAAGAGAGACAATCCATCATGCACACTTGTTAGACACACACTCCGATTCTTAAATGTTATTATCTCTATCATATCGGCCAACGTCTCTATACTATTCAGTCATTTAACTGCCGCACTGCTCTTTACCACAGTTTTTCTCCCTCCCCTAACGGATTTTTCCTCTTCACTCTTTCTCCACTTCTTTGCCTCCCCATGACTTTGCACAAACTGCAAGCCATTCAGGTTGCCTTGGTAATGTTAATAGGATTAGCAATGGCTTATGTATATCCACCATCCCGTGTCTGGGCATTGATTAGAGCAAAATAGTCACTTGCACATCCTTCCTGCAGCTCACAGCACAAGTACAGACACTTTGCAGCGTATGATGTTGTCCTTAGCTTGCACCCCCTCCAGTGCTCTCTCTTTTTATTCGTCATGTTGTCCCTGGGTTTGTGCTTCACAGACACAAAGATTAAAGCTTCCTTGTGTTCCCGTAGCTCTCCTCGCTCCATTTAACTTTGGAATCTTCCCTACCCCTAAAGTTAAACTTTTATTCATCTTCACAGCACTTTACTGGATGTGTTTACCTATTTAAATAATCACACTCCATTTGGGGTCTTGTCACGCGACTCTCCTAAGTCCCATCTGTCTCCACGTTCCCCAGGATTATGACCTGAGTCAGCTCCAGCAACCAGACACGATAGAGCCTGATGCCATCAAGCCAGTGGGAATCCGTCGTCTAGACGAGAGACCCCTCCACCCTGAGCCACAGTATCCCATGAGGTCTGCAGCACCACATCCTGGAGACATTGGAGACTTCATCAACGAGGTAAAAACCATCAGACAGAAACGATCAGTAAAAGTTGACTCTGCTTTGTGGTACAGCAGAATAGTTCCAAGGGAAACAGTTGAAATGAAAGAATCATCGTGGTCGGAAAAAACTTGAATTAAATTTTCAAGTCAAACGATTCTGATAATGAATTTGCATCAAAACTATTTAGCCTGCTTGATTGAGCTATGACTCCAGCGTATTGGGGAAATAGATACTTTGAATTCAATAACTTATCAGGATTGTGTTTAATGTTTTTCCCTGCAGAGACGAAGAAACTTCTCTAATTGCACTTGTATCCACCCTGACTTTTATAAAGCTTAGCAAGCTCATGATGCTAACTCACTCGGATATAATTGTTTTCCTCCGCATTTTCTGCCAAAGTGGAAATATAGATATGTCAGCATAAAGACGTGAGATGAGAGAAAGCCGCATTGGTTTTCTCTCAGAGTGCACTGCTCAGAGCGCCCTCGTTTGCCCGAGGCTATCATTGACTTCAGCATGAAGGGAGAATGTAAAATGAAAAGAGCAGTCATATATTTTTCACAAGCTCCAACAGACAAGAGTTTCACCACATTACAAATGGAGTTCGCTCCTAGTTTTTGGATGGCGCCCATGTTTTTAGATTAGAGCTCGCTCTTTCAGCTCTGCTGCCTAGCAATCTATCTCACTGATCCCTTTACCCAGACACCATTCATTTTCTCTCACTGTTGACTCCCCAATACACCTAATTCACGTCATAAAGGCTGACACAGAGTAAAGTGTAATATTTTGACAACGAATACCGTCATTCACCACAGTTGCTTTTTCATGGCGTTTTAATATGCCCACAAGACCGTTTAGATGTTTCTGAGCATCTTGACCCAGAAAAGACTCACTGGAACAAAGCAGTGTTCATCTGTTTGTTGTCCCAAATTTGACTGCTTATACTGCCCAATCATGGTAGTTTCAGCATGCACATCAAGCTTAAATGCGACCTAGCTGATAGTGCTTGCCACCAAAAGGGCAGGGAGATATAGAAGTGGGTGAACAGAGTGCGTCTCATCTCTATCATGAATTGTGCGCACTCCTCTGCAGGCTGGAGTTGTAATTAAATTAGAGAAACGGAGAAAAAAAATCAGGCAAAGGTTTATCATAAGGACTTTAACCCTACTGCCGGACAAACAAAGGTCCATTAGTCACCTCCTGGTCTGTCCTCACAGAGGGGGGTGGCATTAAATACATTAGCACCCGCTTGACTTGACCTGCTGGACACAGGTGGGCACAGTGCACAGGAGGAGACAGCTGAAGTGATTGCCTTCATTGTCTCACACAGTGGCTCGTTTCTCCCCTGGCGGGGTTGTCTGTGAATGGTGAGATAGTGGGTTTGATTACACATCTCTTTGTTATCTTGGGACTGAGAGACTCCAGTGAGTGAGGACAGTCCACTATTTCACATTTAAAAGTCATGATTGTTTCAACCACAGTGGGTGAGTCAGTTGTGATGAAATTATGAGCCTGAGTTAGGTGATTGACTACCTTTCCCAAGCAGTCTGTGGGCTTTTTGTTGCAGATAGCAGAAACTATAACCAGCGGAGCTAATACGGTTGTAATTGTAATGAACAGCCCATCTGTCATATTTCTCACAAAATGATCAGCACTGCGGCCCCGAGCAAACACTAAACGAAAGCTAACAAGTTGAAAATAATGGCTAAGTGCCCAGACATTTAAATTAAATTCTTTCTTTTTTTTTAGAGCATTCCGTTGCTACAGTAGGCAGCAAAGAGGAAACTATTAATCTTTGACAAGTTCTCGATGAGCTGTGGTCTCGTTTCTGTGATATGTTGCTCCACTTCTTTTTATTCATTTATTATTTGTTGGGTGTCCTCAGTTGTTGCCATAAGAGAGAGAAACTAGGCCCAGATCCAGAAGTGGTTCATGGCCAAAGCACATCTCAACTCGTAGATTAGCAATCCATCAAGTCTCTCGAGTGCTGTTAGGGAATGAGGCTGGAAATCAATAACAATCCATAAGGACCTGTGTTGATGCTATGAGGATTTCTGGGAATGTCAAGTGCAATCTTTAAAATAGAACCACACTCAGAAGCAGCACAAGCATATAGATAACACATAGGGAAGCATGGGAGCAGCAATCGCACACATCTCTGCCTCAGCTTAGCTCCGTAGTTACGTTTTAGTTTACACTAAAGCCAGATACAGCAAGGTAAATATAAAATATCAAAAGTATTTCGAGTGCGATGACAAATGACAAAGAATTTGAGTTGTTAAACCTGAGCGAGGCAAGAGCAGACAAAGGTCTTTGACAGGGTCATGGGGGGTCTGGGGGGGTTGCAAGCATCTAAGACTGCTGGTCACGCTCAGACTTTGGCTTTTGATCAAGGAGCAGATAATCCACCATCCCAGAAACATCATGAGGATCCCTTCTGAAACGGAGAGGAAATTCACTGGAACATTAGAGTGTGATTAATCTGGACAAAACCCTGATTTCCTGAACAAGTGGAGGGAGACCCACTGACAGGTTTTAGGATAGATTAGCCTGTTTGTGTGAAGCAGCGGTGGGGAGGGAGCAGCATTTGTGGTTCACTCCTGGTTGCAGACGGCGGTGGTGTGCAGAGTGCAGACGTGGCCTAATCTCCCCATCTAACTGTGGTTTTATTTCCTTGTGCACAGGGACTGAAGGCAGCAGACAACGACCCCACTGCACCTCCCTACGACTCCCTCCTAGTGTTTGATTACGAGGGCAGTGGCTCCACAGCCGGCTCCCTAAGCTCACTCAACTCCTCCAGCAGCGGGGGCGACCAAGACTACGATTATCTCAACGACTGGGGCCCTCGCTTTCGAAAACTGGCGGACATGTACGGCGGGAGTGACGACTAGAACATACGGCCACGCCTGAAAAGATACAAGATGAAGAACAGGAAACATTTCCCGTTGAAGGACACGGACAACTTCTGATATTCCCCAAGAGAATGATAGAACTGTGAGTGAAAAGATACAAAAAAGAAAAAAAAACATTGATTCAGAATTTTTTTCAAAAACAACCAATCTAGGCTTATTGTTGTAGTCTACGCATACATATGCTTGTTGAAAGCTTAAGCATAGGCTGTGGTCCAGTTATGGAGGATGTGGGAGGGAACACTGGTGAGCTGTCACCACTCAGATTGTCGGTATTGAATGCGCTCAGTTACACTTGAATTTCACAGTACAGAAGCACTGGGATATAATGTGCCTTTTTGTACATTTTTTTGGATCTAATGATTAGTTTTATGTTCAAGGCTTTAATGGTACTGACCTTTGGAGTGATTTCAAACAAAAGTATGTTACACTCTGGTATGCTTATACATGCTTTTTTTTTCTTTTGGTTACACAATGCTCCTGTTTGTTGAAGATATTTAAATAAATCACAAAGAAATGAAGAAATGAAGGAACATCTGTTAGCTTGGATGGGAAGAAAAACAATTAAGAGCAGCACTGTACAGTATGCTAGACTTTTAGATTTTCTCACTAAAAAATTAAAATTATGCAGCTGGTTGCAAATAAAGGGAGTTATGAATCATACTTTTGTAGCAAATTTCTTTTTTCTCCTTATTTTGAGGTGATGTAGTGTTATACAAAAACAATTAAAAAAAAACAGTTTTGGTCTCATCTATGTACACTTCATTTGCCTTAGTCATCATCGGATATTTTTCCAGTTTTACTTCACTGTAAAAAGATGTGTGTACATAATGTTTTTTCTTTCTTTTCTTTTGATGTAGTATTATGACGAAGTGCAAACAGTTCCAAACTTGTAAATGTATAATTTCGACTACAAATTCAAGTTTTTGCATGTTTTTATCTTTTCATGACAACAGAAATTGAAAAAAAAAAAGTTATTTCCCAAATTTATTTACAAAGTGAAAAAATAAAAAACTGGGTGACCTTAAATGTGTAGAAGTTAAGAGTTTTTTGTATAAAAAAAGTAAATAAAAACACTGATTAAAAAATTGAGAAGTAGTGATCTTGTCAGCACAAATGTTGAATTTGTACCAAAAATCGGAGGGGTTGGGGTAGGATGAGGGGCACTAATTACTGAATCAGCTTTAAGAATGGAGAAGGTTTTGGATTAAAGCGTTGTGGATAACCATGTGTACTGGAACACATTATACATCTCTGACCCCAGCCATCCAAATAAAATGCTAATTTTGGAGCTAAAAATCCCTGCCTCTTTTTTTCTCTTTGCTCAGCAGAGACTGAGGTTATGCAATTCACAAAGTAATTACCTCAAAGAACAAATGGTAAAAGTTTTAGTTGTAGCGCATTTTCACCTAAAGGAACTATGAATCATTTATGCCCTTCGTTTTTTTGTTTACAAAGATTTCACGAAAATAAAGAAAATGCTTAAGGCTTGTCTGTAGGCGATGGCTTTTGTTGCTTAGGGGCTGCAAACTACACAGTAAACTTGAGTCTGGAGCCAAGTCAAGGGCAAGAGCTTGTCGAAAACCAGAATCCATTCGGTACCTGTTTGCTCTCAGGGATTTGTGCTCTTGAGTACTGTATGTGAGATTGGACTTGACCTCAAGATGAAGAACACATTCTAACGCTGTCTCTTAAGGGACTTGTCTTGTATCTCCTCTACTAAGACTTAAGCAGGATGAAAGCACTACACACGCGTTGTTTGTGGTGGCAGAAACAGCAGTCGCTTTCTGTTCAGCTGTCAGACTACAGGGTCCTCTGTAGATGGGTGTCACCTGTCTCACCCTCACCTGCTTCTCCTCTCCTTTGGAGGGAACTGTAATTTATACAGCTATCATTTACTCATTTGAGCAGATGTGTTCTGCGGTTATTAATTCCACTAAATTAAACAGGGATGAGTTTGGTACGTGGTTCTCACACAGAACACAGCGTCTTGCCGTTTTAAGATTCATCACTGAACCACACCAGGCTTTTGGTTTTCATAGCTGCTGTTTATTAACCCGTACCTTTATGTTCGTGCTCCTTTGAGTCACAGAGTCTAGTTTAGTTTCAAAATGTCCTTGGCTGGTGTGTAGCAGTTATCTCAGAATATACATAGCTCTGCGCTCCATTCGCCAGACGCCACATGAAATGTTACGGTGCCGAGTCAGATTTAATGTTAAGCAGCACACCGTCCGACTTTAGGATGTTGTTTCAAGTGCAGCTGAATCTGATTTGCCTGGCCAAATAACTTCCTTTACACCTTGTGGTTTTTAACCTGAAGTGCAAGATTGGTTCTCCTTGCTTTTGTCTGTGCTGTCCTCATGGCAGGGTTAACCTTTGACTAAGAACATTCCTTTCTTTGATCTCGAGCAGGCACAGATGTGTTTGGTGAATCAACATCTTGAAAGGGCTTCATCAAATTCTTTTTGTTGCTTAGAAGTTTCCAAGGCGGGCATTGAAGCAGGACACATTTAAGGCAGCCTGTGCTATCTAACTAATTGTTTGACATTTCTGTGCAAGTGCTCGTTTCTTTTCTGTTGGAGGAGAGGACCGATCTTTTAAAAGTCTACATCTGTACATTAATAAAGTCAACTTCAAAGGAGCGTATGCAGGCAAGCTCTTTATTCAATGTCTGGTTATAATAATTTTCACTCATTGCTAGTTTTATTTTTATGTGACCCAAGTGATGTGAAACATAACGGTTGCAACACAGGGCCGTGCAGGTAAAATCATCTCTTGTGGTTTTAGCTCGTCTTCAGCATCTCCGGCCCCGCTGATGTGTTTTCATCTCGATCCTGAGATTGTTTCATTGGATTCAAACTCACCAAGAAGTCACGAGTCTTGTTCATTTTTTATTCTTTTCTTTCTTTTTTTGTGATCTGCACGGGAGGGGGGGTTGGGGGGGGAGAGAAATCATATTCCAGCACTTCAATTTCACAACATGGATTATCCCCGAAGGTATTCTGGCAATCTAAAAGAACCTAGGACATAAAGGCTGCTGCTTCGCAGCTCTTTCAACATCCACACCAAAAACACACATCGCTCCACTGTCTCCAGACATGTACTGGTGGAGACAGTAATAATGCACTGAATGGATGCTGCTTCAGTCAAGAGCGCTTCTGGAATATATTACAAGGGGAATCTAAGGACAATATAAAGTGTTTTGGAGATTATAATCATTCAAATTGACAGACTGAGCAGTAATTAATGATGATTGTGTGAGAAGCACATTTTTGTCATCTATTTGCCATATGGTGAAGTGAGGTTGGAGGGAATAATTGCTCAAAACAGTGTCTCATTTGCACATTTTAGCTAGTTCACAAATGGATTGAAATAAGGGTGCAGTGGAATTTAAACAAGCAGAAAATTATTTGCAAAACTAATTAAGTCGGATAGGCACGACACCAGTTTTCCTCAACCAATTTCAGCGAACGGTTTATGTACGCAAACTGCACATAAAAAAAAAAAATTACACCTCAGTGATGCAAAATGATAAATAAATAATGAATATGTTATCAGTCACTGGCTCGCGCTGTGGGCTTTGTTGTCTCCTGGAAGGAAACCTGGCTCTCGTGTGCACGTCGCTTTCCAGTGACTCCATATCTTTTTCCCGATAGATACCACAACATGCGCCGTGCAGATTATTATTTCACTTTTAAACGGAAAATATTCACTGATTGGAAAAAACGGTGAGGAGGAATTCGACTGATAAAGGCCCGGAGTGCTGTAGGGATGTTCTCCTTGGAAAATGGCTGCAGATTGCTGTTCTTACAAGCACCCCAGGGCCACTTTTATTGACTGTGAAACAATGCTTCCACCAGCACCTCCTCACCATAGCAGATTTACAAGACAGCCATCCTCAGCTCCCCAGAGTGTGTGTGGATGGCTGAGCAAGTGTCACAGAGCCACCCAGCCTCCGTGGGGGGAATTGTCAGTAAACATGCAGAATACAGACTAGAATCCAATGCAAAACCAGCGTCTGAGTTATGCTGCTCCTGACCTTTGGTGGACTTTGGGAAGATGGATGCTACCCAAGCTATCGATAGAAAATTTCTGGCCCTGAGCAGCGAGAGCATATTTCATGTGGTTTTCCCAGCCCCCTGCATGGTACCTCTGAATGAATAAGAAAGTAGTCTGGATGACAGAGTGCATGCTGGGGCACATGCATTCCTTAATGTATTTGTGTATAGGTCCAGCCACTTGTGTAAAATCGATCAATTTGATTTCTTCGTGGTTGTCCTCTCAGTGTAATATTAGATCAGTTTGTTTGTATTTCAGCCCTGCCTCTCACATATAGCGAAAGGGGACCTGCTCTTGAGTGCCAGATTTTTTTTTCTTTGCCCCCACATCCAACCTTGATCTACGGCTCTTTCCATTCTCCCTGACTGTAGGCAGATATCTCTCCAAACGGCTCACCCTCTGTATCAGCAGATATTGTTCTCCCTCTGTTAGCCACACTGATTCATCAACTTTCATTTATCAGGACCCCTCCCACCATCATTCTTCGTCCGCATACAGCCATGACACTGTGGTCACGGAGCTGGAGACGGGAGGGGGGAGCCGAGGGAGTGTGAGGCAAAAATGATGAGCGCTGTTTCTTTCATTAGATGCATATCGTCTGAGCATGAGATTTTTATGCTTGTATGTGAGCGCTCAATGTCACTTTCTGCTGCCTGCAAGCGTGCGGAAGGCATTTCTCATCTCACCGTGGTTTCTCTTGCGTAAATGGTGGACGGCAATCCTAAACCATGAATACAGTCGCTGCATTAAACAGCTATTTTCTATTTCATAGTGTTGTTTCCCCTGTGAAACAGAATTTCCCAGAGAAGAGGAGAAAGAAAGAAAAGCAAATTGGAAAAAGAAGGAAACAAAGAATCCCTTGATAGACTTTAGATTTATACATGCACTGAAACACACTCTCATCCATGTTGTCATCCAGGCTGTGAGTCCGCTGGCCACGTGGACACGAACGATGAGATGATTTTGCCCAGTAAGCAGGAATGGCTTACGGGGGTTGTACGGTTCCTGACTGCAGAAAGGGACTTCCGCGATCAGTGCTTCATAAATGCGCCGAAGGATAGACCGGCCCTGAGATCAATGTGCTGCTGATTGTACAGCATAGCTGTTATATTACAGTCTATTTGAGGGAGAAAAGAGGCCACTGAGCGGGCTAGACTTTCCTGTCTGCTGACTCCATTGTAGTCAGCCATTTGTATGGATAGCTGGGAGCTAGACTGACAAGCCATCAGCCTCCCTGGAACAAAACTCCTGAGCATAGACACCCTAAAGGACATCACTCACTCACCGTCAAAGATATAAAAGTTCACACCAGTTCAAGTATGTTTGGATCACCATATTGTTTGTTTTGTATCTGCAAAACGTCACTTATTGGATGAGTTACAGCTAAGTACTTGAACACTAAATTGCAGAATTAGTCAGAGCAGGCATATGTCAAACAGACAAACAGTAGAGTGATGAAGAATTCTAAGTTTCTTTAAATGATTTTTGCTTCTGTAAAATCCCTGATGTAACATATAGTTAAAAACAGGTGTTTGACGCTTAGCTAAAATCGCCCCTTTGGCTCTCAGGGGGCACAGTGCAGATTTACTCAGCGGGTGGAGGTTAAACAAGTTATTGCCCTGTGTTCACTCCTTTTCAGGCCACCTATTTTTTCTTTTGTTTGGACTCTTTCCCCTAATTTTTCAGCAAGGAGATGCCTCAAAGCATGGTAACATTTGATGGGAACAATGGACAATGGATTAATTTCACTCTGTGGGGAATTCAGTAGTGTCACGTTGGCTCAGGTCTTAACTGATTTACCCCCTCACTTCTGGGTGGCAGATATAAAGGCAATGCATCCAATTGCTGCAAAAGAGGAAGATTTCAGAGAGGTTGATTTAGGTAGGTCCACAAACTGCTCATTATCAACTAAATAGCTTTTAGGTTGCATCCTTGAAATGTGTTTCTGTCTTTTATTACAGCCATAATAACCTCATTGCAGCTGCTTCAATGGAGTGGCAGGCTGCTCCATATGGTTAATACCACTTCTCAGTGCCTAGTTCCTGAAGACACCTTTCAGTGCACCGGCCTGCTCTGTGTTTGTTCGTGCTAGAAAACAAAATGGAACAGAATTGACTTGAAGCGCAGAGGACGACGCTCGGCTAAATGAGCGAGAAGTGTGTCTCACTCAGCTTGTTTATTTCATGGAAGAATTATATCATGGGCAAACAACTACACAGACGGGCCAGATGCTTTTT